ATGTGAATAGCTTAAAATTAAGTTACATATTTGTTAAAAAGTCAATATATCCCTAGTCATACCTATTCATTCTGCCATATTTACTCTTCTCTGGCGATCAGAGGAAGAGGTAGAGAAGACAGTGTGCAGGGAGAAGCATTTTAAGATGCATTTCTGCAGGAGACTGCTTCCTGCTGCCCCCTGCCGACATAAGTACGGTTACCAGGAGAGTGTCAAGCATTGTTGTCCCTGAATTTGACAGGCTAACTTGAAAGGATGAAATAAGTAATTCAGAAGAATTCTACCAAGATGTAATGTGAAAAAGTAAATAATAATAGGCCTTCTCCTTAAAAATATGGTTTGCTGTTTTTGTTGCACTTCATCTCAGCTATTTTGTAAAATTCCTAAATTATAGAATCACATATTTCCAAGCTGGAAAAGACCCATCTGGTAGTCCTTTCTCATTTTACAGATGAGGAAAATGAGATCCAGAGAGATTCAGTGGCTCATCCAGGCCACCCAGCTAGGTAGACATAGGTGAGGAATGCCCCAAATGTTTCAGGTCATGAGTGGACGGATGATCTGCTGTTTCCCCAGAACTTGTAGGCATAAATTCCTGGATTCCTCTGCAGTCTCATTTAAGGAGAACGTCTAAAGCTAGGATTTATGAACATGCATTTTTATAAAAGCTACTCAGGTGATTCTTGTGTATCCAGTTCCTTGGTCAAAAATTGATATTAGTATATCTCATGGATCATATCACTCCTGTCATCTGTTATTTTGTTTTTTGTTTTGTTTTGGTACTGGGGATTAAACTTAGGATCTTGTGCTTGTGGGGCAGGCATGGTGCCACTGAGCAAAATCCCTGGCCCTATCATCTGTTTTTGTGTGGCCCACTAGCTGGTGGTTTCTACATTCCTGAACAGCTGGGCATGTGGAAACTGTATGAAATGTCCACGTCCATGAATTGCTGTTGGGACATAGCCATTCTTCTCTCTTTACACCTTGTCATTGACTACTTGTGCACCACAGTGGCAGAATTGAGTTGTGCAATGGAGATTGTGTGGCCTACAAAGCCTACCACACTTACCACCAGTGCTAACAGGGAAATTCCTAAGCTTTGAGTACTTGAGCCAAAAACCATCTTGCTTTATGCAAAAAAATGAATTTGTGAAAAATTGCATATAAGTTATAATGCAACTTGCTACTTACAATGTGGAGCATTTGCTTTCTTTTCAGGTTTGGTATGGGTCAGATGTTAATTTCTCTTTGAATTGAGAAAAGATCTGTTTTGCCTTGAACTCTGGAAGGCTGAAGCAAAAGCATCACAAGTTCAAGTCCAGCCTGACAACTTGGCAACTAAGTGAGACCCTCTCTCAAAAAGAAACATTAAAAAAGGGCTGAGGCTGTAGCTCAGTGCAAAGGCTCTGGATTCAGTCCCCATTACCACACACACACACACAAAAAAACCGCTTTTTATACATGATGAAGATACAGGATATAAATATTTAGAAAGGGGTAGTAAATTATTTTATGTGAACTACTCAGTACCTAAATTATGAAATTTCTATTTCACCCATAAAATGTCCCTAATAAAGCCTTTTTACTTGCAAAATCAGTTGTTTAATTCACTGAAAATAATGTAGTTTCCCTCACAATCATCAGTCTTCCACTTGCCATATATCCAGAGTCCTTGCTATCTCCTAGTTTTTCTTCAACCAAGATGTACCAGTTCCAATTACCTGATGTCTCTTCCTTTTCTCCTTTTCACTCACTTTCAGACAACATAAGTATTTGTTCATTAACCTGTCAGCAGCCACTTATTGAGCACATGCTGTATGCCAAGTCGTGCAGTCACTGATTTCGTGATAGCAAGTACTCTGTGGTACCACTAGATCTGTATTTCTATCATGGCTAAACTAAGGGACAAGAGAAATGGAAGGTACAAAGTACATTACTTTTAAATCCTGTTGTTTGCCTCCTAAGGCAGGTAGGAATTTAATAAAGGCCTGGCCTGCTGGTTTATAGGTTCTAGGACATGGGCCAGTGTTCTTTCATTGTTGCTTAGCTTCTTTATGTAGTATACCCAGGGGCTCAAATTTCCCATTCACCAGAGGATCCATCCCCCACACCGGCTTCATTCTCTACCATATAGCCATGAAATTGCCTCCCAATCTAGCACAGTAGAAGCCGTGGAAAGGCTCTGAGCTCAGCATAATACACTGCTCTTTGCTGCGTGACCTTTATAGATGGTGTCCCTCTCCTGAGCTTTTGTAATATCCATAGAGACTAATAATTCCTCCTTCAGCATAATTCACAGGAATATTATGAAGTTGAATAAGGAGGTTATTTCAGAGGCCTGGTATTTTCATAGAGTTGCTATAGAAACACAGAAGGGTACAAGTATTTCAGAGAGGGGATTTGGGAAGTCCTGCCTGTTTGTTTCTTCAAGAAGCCAAGAAACAGAAGAACCATAGCTCTGCCCTTGACCTGTTTCAGGCTAACTCCAGATCTACTACTTCCTTTTGCTTTCAAGATTAGGCGCTTTTTCGCGCTCCCATTCTCTCCCCCCACCCCCAGTACTGGGGATCAAACTCAGGACCTTGTTCTTGCAAGGCAGGCAATGAAACCAATGAGTTAAATCCTCGGCCCAAGATTAGGCCTTCTCTATGATGTACCCCACCAGAACCAGGGCACTTTAGTGCAGGGAGAATATTAGCACACACAATATCAACAGTGGGTGGTGCGGTGGGTATGTCCAGAATATATGTAGCTCTATTGTGGCTGTGCTTTTCTATTGAAAAGAGACTGATTGTGACCCTGGCAGACTAGGAAAGGAAAGAGCAGATGGGGAAAGGAATGTTTTTAAAAATAAAATCTGCTGACAACTGTGTATTGGGAGCTCATGGAGTAAGCATTATATTGGAACTGGAGGCAAGTATAAGATTGATTTCCGCCTTCAAAGAGCTTAAAACCTAGGTGTAGGGTGTGGGGTAAAAAAAAAAGTATGATATTAACCGGGCTTTACATAGATTATCTTAGATTAAGAGAACTTTCTTTTATGTCTAGTTCACTGAGTGTTTGTATTATTAAAGGATGTTAGATTCTGTCAAATACTTTTTCAGTATCTGTTAAGATAATTGTGTGGTTTTTCTCCTTTATTTTATTAGTATAGCATATTAACATTGATTATTTTCATATAACACACCACCTTTCCATTTCTGGGGTAAATCCCAATTGGTTGTAGTGCACAATCCCTTTTATATACTACTGGATTTGCTGGCTGGCATTTTAGGTGATGCTTTTTGTGTCCAGATTCATAAAGGGCATGAGTTCAGAGTTTTCTTTTCTTGTGGTATCATTATCTTGTTTTTTTTTTATCAAAGTAATACAGTTTTTATAGAATGAATTGGGAAGTGTTTCTGTTTTTTGGAAGAGTATGTGTTAATTCTTTAAACATTTGGTAGAATTCATTAGTGAAACCATCTGGTCCTGGGCTTTTCCTTGTGGGGGTTCATTTTTTTAATGCAAGGTACAGAAGAATGTTTATAGTAAAATCTCATTTGAGGAGAGACTTTTAAGGATATATCTGTGTGCTTATACAGAAAATTTCTGGAAGGGTATAGAAAAAACTGGCAGCAAAGATTATTGTGTAATGGGACAGAACTCAGTCATATTCTTTTTTATTATAAGCACATAACTAAATTTTAAAAATAAACACTACTTAAAATTACTTGCACTTGGATATTTGCTCTTTGTATTTGCCTCTGGCTTTGTCTCTTTAGGGTCCCCTAGTCTAATAAACCTTGCACCTTTGTGCAGTGTCACAGGCCACTGCTCCTCCTGACCTCTTTTCCATCAAATTGGAATTCTCTGTCAACTTCCAAAAACAACCTGCAGTTACGTGCTATTGTACTTTTATGCTATGCTGTTCCCTTTTTCCATTATCCCTTCCCCTCTGTCTGCCCAGTTTCTCTTAATGTTTGTTTTTCCTTTAAATTCTCTTCCAACTATGAGTACTTTCTAACTCACTTTTTATTCTCCACCCAATGTCTCATATATTATAGATACTTTAGTTTTGAACTTTGCACTTATACTCCATAGTAATTACTAGTTCATATATATCCTCTGTAGAAGTGCAACTCTATTCAATTTTATGTCTCTGGAGCTTAACACAATGTTTGACACAGAATACATGCTCGAAAAGAGTTGAATTGATGAGAGAAAGTATTTGGGGTAGGATGAGTAATGTGAACAAAGGACAAAGTTACGCATTACTGTAACTTGTTCTGGGAATGTGGACTAGTTTGTCTAAATAAGAAGATGTGTGCTGGGAAACATAATAGAATGCTTTTGGCAAGGCTAATATTGGAGGCTCTTATAAGCCAGATCAAGCAGACTTGGTAGGTAAATATTGATTAAATGAAGAGTTCTTCTCACTTCCTTCCAGTCTGCTCAATTTTCTTCCCAATAGGTTTACCCTGATCATTCCTTTAAAGTGTATACCTCTCCATTCATCTCCCCTGCCCATGTTCTCTTCTTCCCTTTTCTTCCTTTTTCTATAACATACTACCTTCTATGTATCACAGCCTATGTAATTTATAATGTTTTATATTTATTGTTTGTTTTCCCTGTCGAAATATAAGCTCTCCATGCCAGGACTGCCTTTTTCACTGATAAACACCTACAATGTGTCTGACACATAGTAGGCCATCACTTGTTGAATGTTTAAATCCAAAAATAATGAAATTCAGTATCTTGGCAAGACCTGGCATAGATAACTTAGATATAATTTGACTATAAAACTGTTAAGATTGTGCCAGGTATTTCTAATATAATCTGGGGCAGAGCAGGGAAGGGAGTAAGGAAAGGAAAGTGTATTCTCTTAAGATTTCTTCTTTAAAAACTAAATTGGGAAATAAAAATTATAAGTACCTTTATTTCTTGCCTAGAAAAATGTTGTTTTATATGGCAATTAACACTTATGCTTTAATAATTTCTCTCTTTTTCTTTCTCCACAGACCTTTGTAGTATTAAACAGAGGGAAAACTCTCTTCAGATTTAGTGCCACGCCTGCCTTGTACATTTTAAGTCCTTTTAACCTGATAAGAAGAATAGCTATTAAAATTTTAATACATTCATATCCTTTTATGCTAATGAGGAGTGAATGCAGCATCTGCATGATGGTGTATATTTCATTATTTGACAGTTGAATTGTGTGTTGTTTCTTATCAATGGTACAGGTGACCATCCCATCCGTCAGTTTAAGAGAGAGGTCCTGCCAAATCTCAAGCTGAATTTCAAGAAACTCTTTATTCTTAGGATGATATTACTGGAGTCTAGAATTTTGTTGGTGTCATTATGAGGGACAAATTGAGATGGTAACTTTTTATTGACGTCTTGACTTTTTAGTAATTCCCATGGTGAATTGTTTAGCTTATTAAGATCCAATATTGGATTTTTTTTTGAAAGCTGCTTTTTGAGTTGCAAATTGTTGAATGAATGCTTTAGAAATATGCCTTGAAATGTTCTTGATTTCTTGAGTAGTGAATTTTAAAAGTATCTGTAATAGTTATCAGATAAAATAGCCTCCTTGATAGAGCTTTAGGTGCAGATTGCAGAATAGAAATTACTCTGATATTTTTTTATTCCCCTAAAATAGAAAAATGACAATTTCTTCACATGGCCTTTTTTTGTTTTTTGGTACTGGAAATCACACTCGGGACCTTGTGCTTGCAAAGCAGGAAGTGAAACCACTGAGCTAAATCCTTGGCCCTCATGTGGCCTTTTTATAACCTATTCATATAGGAGAGCATATGACATGTGAAAAATTATGGGATGGGTTAAGCAACTTTGCATAGTGATTTTAAATTTGCATGGTTGGTATTTAATTTAATAGTACTTATTCTCGTGCTTCAAAGAGTATTGTATCTTCCAAAGAGAATTAGGAAACCAGCAGTTGCAACTAGTTTAGTAAGCTTCTTCTCCACTGGAAGTCTAGGAATTTAGCAACCTGGTTTTGAAATTTGTGGTTTACAAGCAATGTAGTTCTGAAGTATGAAGATTTGCAGGAAAATAACTTATGTGCTTTAATAATTTAATCCTTTCTGTTGAATTAGAGATGGAGCTTTCGTTTTGTTTCAGGAGCGAGGGTCCTTCTGGTTCCAAACAGTATGTCATGGTCACTTGAAAAAATCCAGTGGTAGAGAGGAAAAAAATCCTGTTAGAAGACATGCTTTCTCTTTTTAAAACTACACAAGTAGAATATAGGAATGCCATTAGCAAGAGAGAATGAGTTAACAAATGAAAAATGGCTCCTGTCATTGTTAAAATGACAGTTTGAGTAACTCATGTTAATCCTAAATCCATTTAATTTTTCTCAGTAGATAAGAACAGAAAGTGCTGAGAAAGATTGTGGATGGAATTAAAATGACAACAAAATGGTTTGCTGCCCATGAACTTTCCTGAGTGCTTTCACAGGGATCAAATGGATTTACCCCATCACCTAATTCTCAGGAGTATACAGGTGATGCTTTGCTTGAAAGGCATCTCTAACTCACCACAGTTGGTTATCCACGTTGGCCATAAGCAATGCGTATCAGCTGGTGCCTTGCTCCCAAAGACAGTTTATCTCCCCAAAAAGACTATAGAGGGAAAAGCAAACCATTAATTACGGTGCATGTAGATTGTCTTCCTTTTTTTTTTTTAATTTTATTGAGTTTATTGGTACATTTTAGGGATACAGTACAGTTACATTCATTGTTGGGATCATGTACCTCTACATGGCAAGTCTTGATTCTCATTTTTTCCCCTTACCTGTGCCCTCCCTTCACCCCCCCCTCCCCTAAGACTATAGAGGGAAAAGCAAACCATTAATTACGGTGCATGTAGATTGTCTTCCTTTTTTTTTTTTAATTTTATTGAGTTTATTGGTACATTTTAGGGATACAGTACAGTTACATTCATTGTTGGGATCATGTACCTCTACATGGCAAGTCTTGATTCTCATTTTTTCCCCTTACCTGTGCCCTCCCTTCACCCCCTCCTCCCCTCCCCATCTACAAACACTTTATTTTCATCTTTTCATTCTCTCACATTTTTTTCTTTTCCCTTTTTGTTCTTCCCCTATGCATCACACCTTCCCTACACCTTTAGCTCCTTTCTTCAAATTTAATAAATAAGTCACACATGTGTAAATACCAAATAGTTTCCCTGGTGTGAATATTCTGCAACAATGCATAAGATTCTAATAAGATTACTGACATTTAGAAATTTGTCTTCCTTTTTTTAAATAAATTTTATTTTATCCCATCCCCCCTTGAATTCCCCTTCCCTCCCTAAGTGTAGGTTTCAAATAACTAGTTATATGGGATAATTAACAATAAGTGAGTATTAGATTATATGAATTTTCTGACCTGATGAGCTTAGAGTCTAGTAGATTGGTAATTTCTGGTTACTAATAAATATTTAGAAACTTATTTCATAGTTGAGGTGAAAAGTGGTAAGAACAGGAAATATCCTATGCAAAAGTAGAACAGTGACAGCCTTTAATAGCCATCCTACCCTATCCAACCACAATTCCTGGTCTGGTGGGGTTGTTTACAGTGCTTTATTTGTTGGTGATGGTGAATAGTTTTCATTATCACTTTGCCTTTTCCCCACTTCTGTGCTTTGTCTCATTTCAGACTGTTGATGTAGAGCTCATGATATCCAGTACAAAATGTGTTGGTATTCTGAAAGGAAAAAAAAAAAAGGGCCAGATTTCATATATTCCCCCTTAACTCTTCTCCACAGTATTTAGCATGATCATTATGTGCACTATTTTGACCAACTGTGTATTCATGACTTTTAGTAACCCTCCCGAGTGGTCGAAGAATGTGGAGTAAGTAGATCTTTATTTATCTGTTTGTTTGTTTGTTTGAAGATTTTTCTTAGTCATTGAATCTTGTGCTTTGCTATAGTTTATCCATCAAGGAAAAAATAGTTATTGCCACTCTTTCACAGAGAGTGTTGAAGATACAGGTGGAATTTAGGAACTATCCCCAAAAATCAAGTCTAGAAAGAGCAGATATATTCTGGGAGGTGCTAATCTTCACCTCCACTCTTTCTTGTGCTAGCTGATTCCTTTGTCTGCGGCCTATCTCCATCCTGTGTTCCTCACTTCTTGATGGTACTGTTTTCTCCAACTTCTCCCCCCCCACTTTTTGTGGCTCCTCCACTCCATAGTTATAAAGAGTTCTGAGGGCCTCTTACCTGCTCCAAGAAAAGTGTAAACTATGGTAGATAGCGGTATACTGTAATATAACTCATGCCCCAGCACAACATTCCATAGTTCCGGTGTGGGTGTTTCAGTCAGTTTGATTCAAACAGAGCCTTCCTTGCTCCCCCGGCTTAGTCCTCCTGCATTGGCTGTGTGCTTTCTGGTTTGTCTGTGTTAGTTGAAGCCAAGCCTCAGGCAGGTGTTATTTTAAATGTTCATTTAAAGTTTCTGTCTGTTCTAAAATTGCCTCAAGCTATCCATTTCTTTGACAGGTACACATTCACAGGGATTTATACGTTTGAATCAGTAGTGAAAATCCTTGCAAGAGGTTTCTGCATAGATGGCTTTACCTTTTTACGAGATCCATGGAACTGGTTAGATTTCAGTGTCATCATGATGGCGTAAGTTCTCCACTTACTTTCTCGGCATTCTGGGTACGTGTGTGTTACTGAGCGTGTTGGCATGACAGTATTTGTGAGTTTGTGGATTCTGGTTTGGGGAATTAATGGGCAACCATGTTAGGCCTGGTGAGCTTATGTTATGGTTCTTGATTGTTGAGGACCTTTTGTTTTTCATGCAGTGACCTTGCTTATATAGGGAAAGGTTAGCAGAGGCTTTGCAGCTAGGAGGGAAAGCAAGGAGTGATTGCCCATGGATGGTCACTCATATTTTATTCCTCTATATGACATTGACCAAGGTTTGCTTCTCTAGAGGGTTGAAATTTTTTACATGTAAACCTTTAGCTGAAATGTGTTTTCTAGGAATGTCTTATCATACACGATATAATAAAGCTGACTAGGTGTTGCAGACTTAAGATAGCATGTTTTAGAGTCAAAATATGAACAAGGCATCCAGACCGGTCCTTCCTAAAGAGTTACTATCCAGAAATTTCTAACTATTACTAGAAACCATGTAACTACATCAGTTTGCTACCTGCTTCTAACACATTATTTATGCTGTTTTGGCAGTGAAAAAGTGTTTCTTTGGGAAACTGAGCTGATGAAAGAAGAGTTATAGCAGGCTTTAGTATTTTTATTTCAGGTTGGGAAAGTGTTTTGCACTTTAAGGGTGTGAGCGGTGCTGTGTAGGCTGTATGTGTGCACATAGGAATATGAGGGAGTATTTGCAAATGTATAGATCTGAGCATCAGGTAAAAAGATATATTCCCACTGTAAAATGTGAGCTAACACTATGCATTAAATATTTGAAAGTGGAACTTTGACGTTATAGTATACAGAAACAATTTTTAGCTTTCCAGCATTGTGAAATACACATTGGTGTCCCTTAAAAATTTAAGAGTTGGGCTGGGGATTTAGCTCAGTGGTGCTGCTGCCCGCTTCATAAGCGCAAGGTACTGAGTTCAATCCCCGGTACCAAAAAAAAAAAAATCAATGTGTCCTTGGACAGAGCTAGTGTTATAATGGGCACTTAACCCAATACTTACTTGCTCTGATCTCATGATCTGGATTTTCCTGAGCACTGCTTTTTTTCTGTCACAAGATGAAACTTAATAGCTACAAACATATGCATACATCTCTTGGATTAGACATATATGCAACCATTTAGACATTTTTGCGACTGGCAACTAGAAAGATACTTTAATGTGGGTTTGTTTTTATGGGTTTCCTGCTGTAGAAACGCCCCTCCCTTCCTTAAATGGTTCACAAATCTTGAAGAATAAGCCTTTGATATCTTTTTGCTTTTCACTAAAAAAAAAAAAATAATAAGTGGGTTGATAGTAGAGACATTTTGATTGGGCTTAGCATATCACTATGCTGATTACGAGAATAAACTCTAGAACCTCCTGGTTGTACCACTTCATTTTAATACACTGTTGAATTCTCCGTGTCCAAATATTTTAAAAGATGTGTTTCTTGAATGTTTATATTTTGAAATTTTTCTTTTTCAGAGAAAAAATGAATTCATAGCTTGTATATAAGACCCTTTCTTTCCCCCCATCCTCAAACCCTCGCCCAGTGGTACCATTACAAGTTAACTTTGGTTTGATTCTGCAGGTATATAACAGAGTTTGTAAACCTAGGCAATGTTTCAGCTCTACGCACTTTCAGGGTACTGAGGGCTTTGAAAACTATTTCGGTAATCCCAGGTAAGATGGCCCGGGGTTGGTGTTAGGTGTTGGGTTAGGGCCCTGATGTGACGTATTGTACTTTTTGTTTTGTTGTGGTTTTGTTTTTTCCTTTGGTGTTTGTGTTTGTGTCTGTGTTTGTCATTTGTGTCTGTGTGTGACCTCCCTTACTACAGATATGTGACAGAGTTTGTGGACCTGGGCAATGTCTCAGCGCTGAGAACATTCAGGGTTCTCCGAGCTTTGAAAACTATCTCTGTAATTCCAGGTGAGAAAATGTGTGCACAAGGCTGACTGCCACATCTCCTATTTCCCTCCATTCATTTTGTCCACTACATTCTAAACTTGTGCCAGTACAATTGATATGGCCTTGCATTCTGCATGCTTTTCCTTAGAGACATTCTCTGGAATGGCCTTTTGGTCCTGAGGCAATTCTCTCTGACTGTGCTTGCTAAGCATGCAGCCCCATTCCATTCATGCTTTTGAAAAGGCACGTGCTTAAGAATCCCTTGGATCTTACAGTATCTGAAAAAAATCATCACAGAGCTAGCTGTCTCTTTGTATATAAATCATTTAAATTCTGTCCTCATGGAATTACAGTAAACTTTCACTATCATTCCATTGCTTGTGGTTTCTAGGCTTCCTGTAGCATGGTTTACTAATGGAATGTTATTTAAAGAGTTTTACTGTTACTGTACTAATGGAATTATTTAATCACAGATGAGACTCGCCCAGTTAACTACTTCAGAATTATAGACAAATTTAAGACCCTTCGAGTTAGTGAATTGACTTTATCACTATTATCATGCTTTACTGCTGTTTGTTTTACTAGAATGAGAACCAGTATACATCTACTATACATATATTTAGGGATCTTTAGGGATCATTATCAAACATAAATCTCAAAGAAAGCTTATGCAGGTTCTGTTTTAACAAATCAAAGGTAAGATAAGATACAAATAAATAAAGATATGGGCAAACAAAGCACAGAAACTTGAAGAGGAAAAAGAGAATCAGAAGTGAGTTGAGAGGTACTTGATTGACAATCTTGTTAAATTTTTTGCCTTTTTCTTTTTGGTCCTGTTTGGGCTAGCTCAGTGGTTCTTAACCTTTTGAAGATTTGGATCCCTTTAAGAATCTGATGAAAGTTCACAAACTTCCCTTAAGCCTATCCATGGACCCCAGGTTAAGATGCCTTAATTTAAATCAATTGTAACTGGATAATATTTTTCTTTCTAAAGAGCAGTCTTGAAATCTGAAAAGAAAAACATTTAGTCAGTCTTGCAAGTCTAAGATAGACTGGCAGTCACTTGGCAAAAGTCAAGACTATGTTGATGCTCACTGAACTTTGTGTTCAGGGATTTTTAAAGAAGTCTCCATAGAGGCCAGTCTTTCCACAGCAATTCTGTACAATTAGGAACATAGAGAACAGATATTCTGATCACATGACTTGTCCCTTTGTGGCTGACTTAGAAATATTTCTCTTTTCCCCTTTTCAACATTATCTAAATATCAGATAGTGAGAGAGGAAGCCGTAGAGTCCCAGAGAGGGCAAACTTGGAGTGTGGTTTATTAGATACCTCAAGGAAGATAAACCCTTAGGCAGCCCTTGTCTAATTTTCTGAGGCAGCTGGAGTGCCAGATCTTTACTTTCATTTTTCCTTTCTCATTCCTACCCTAGTCCCTTTTAAATATGATCTCCTGTTTTCTGCTCACTTCCCCCAGCGTACTCTGCAAGGCATCTGTCTCTTTATGTTCTTGTGATCTCAAAACTTCTCTTCCAGAATTAAATTGGAAAGCTGCATTCTGTTCACTAACTGGGGCAGCAGATGCTATCTCTAATCTACCTCATCACTTCTGTCTTTGTCTCTGCTGTATGGTTAATATTTGACCAGGGCATTTCTGCAAGGTAACCCTTGACTAGTGTCCCATTACTTAATAATGTAGTGATATGCATATATATATATAAAACTAGTATCTATAACACAATGCCTGGTTCATAGCAGTTCACTATAAATGATTGTAGTAGTAGCAGTTATCACAAAGAAGAAACCTAAGCCCAAATAAAAGGTTTATATCAAGATGTAGACATCAGCTTCACGGTTTGAAATAGATTCCCAGATTCCTATTTCTAGAAGCACCCCCAGTTGAGCTGGCTTTGGGAAGCTAACTGGGATGGAAAGTAACTTTAAGGATAGTAAAGCCAATATTAGGTCACTGTCAGTAAAAGGTATACTTGGTTTTTTAAGTAAAGTGTAACTTTGAATTCTAATCTTTTTGTTCTCCATTCTACCTTTCAGAGTTAGTAAGAGAAATCCAGTAGTTGATGTCATCCTCATGGAGAGACTTCTCTCAGCCCATGAAAAAATATGAATTTGACTATCTTGCTTTTCCCACAGCTAGTTCTTGTCCTCTTCCTTCCTGCAGTTGCCCAGGTCTCCTCCCAAGGAGGGGCCGCCAGTATAAACCAGTGGATCTGGACCTGTCTCTCCTTGAAAATCTAAGACATTTTGATACCAGTCAGTAGAGCTGGGATATAACATCCCTTAGTAAAAAACAAAACCATATTACTTTATATACCAAGGTTTCTTGTGGACCATTTCCCTGGAATTGTTTGCTCTCTTCGCCTTCTCCTGTTCCCTGTTTGATCATAAGCTTTTGCAAAAGCTTCCAAACCCAGAATAGAAGAGAGTGACCATGGAGCCAATGTGGAGTCTATAGTATCTCAACAAAGCTCTCCACTGCTAGCTCCTTTCATAACAATTTATTCTTTCCTAGAATATTCAGTGTGTCTCACCTGGGCTGATGGCATCCTTCCTGAGCATCTGATAGATATTTTGAATGTGTTTGGGTTGCCAGGACTCCAGAAGATTGGAGAGCAAGGAACATCAGTTAGCTCCAACCTTTTGTATAAGAAATGCTTTCCTTTAGCTTATGTAGCTCAGAAAAGATCAAACTCATATTCTGACCCATTTTATTTGCTAGCTCTAGAACTGGATACTATCACTTGTGGTTTTCCTTTTGTTCCAATCACCAAGTTGGAGAACAGTGTGCTTACTCTGTGCTGAGATCATTGATGAGGGTAATTGATAGAGGAGACCATTTCAAAACTGGCTTTGGCCTGGAATATGCCAGATGCAACTTGACATTGAAACATTCTGCCTAAAAAATTAGTGTCTTAAACTTTGTTTTCACTCTGTATTCATTTGGGGCCTGGGTAGAAAAAAGATGAGCTCCTAAGTGACTGTCAGGTTTCATATTCTCCATTCCTTGGCCCTTTGCCACAGGAATAAGCCACCTAAAGGTAGGGTAAGAATGTAAAAAGAACTTTCTCAATCTTCTCTTGGAGAAGAGCATTTTATAGCATAACAAGAACCAATTGGGAGATCAAACTTGTGAGTCCCTTTTTATTTCCATCATTTAAAGGGCTCCCCCCAAGCACTACTTATCCGTGCTCACCAGCACTGATTTAATACCACCATGCTCTCTTTAGAGTTGTAATTTCTTGTTTACTTTTCTCTTGGATATTTTATTTCTCTACTTTACTTTCTATTATTGTTCACTCCTAAACATTGAGATCTGATAGGAGATGGCGAAAATAAGTGGCTCTTCTCTTTAACATCCCAATACTATGTTTACAATGAAAACATTTTCTTTAAATGTGTGCGTTGCAAATGTGGCAGTTTCTACTACATAATGAAGGGGGATAGAAAAGTTTTTAAGAACATATTCAGACCCATTGCTTTTGTACTTCTCTTTCTGCATTGCTTGTTGGAAAGACAACCAGATTTAACAATGGCCCTAAGTAGAAATGCTCTAAAGATTCTCAGGATCCCACTGACCCACTCTTGAGAGCCAAGAGTTTTGGTCACAGTTTGTGATGTGAATCTGGTTCCCAGTAAATAAGTCTATGACCCCATTACCTCTCCCAGATTACTCAGTTTTTGAAGAACCTTTGAGAACCATCTTTGTGAGGATTGCATTTGCAGTGGGAAAATTGACATGGCTGTACCTCTCCCTCAGCCTTAACCAGACCCCAGGCAGACTCTGGGAGTGGGGAGATGTTCTTTTTCCTGGGCTGAGAACTGCTTGTAACTGCTACTGAGGTCTGTACCAGTATTAATTTTTGTGGGAGAATCAGCTTACATTGCTTCAAATGACTTAAATTTCTCAGTCTGAGTTACGAACAGGGAAAGATGAATTAACACTTATAATCTGGCCATCGCAGTGGTAGGAGACCTTGATCTCAATATGGCTGATCTCTCTGGACATAGTACATAAGATGGCTTTGTCCATTTGTTCAAGGGATTGCTGGGCACTATGAAAGGTGACAGGAATCAGAGGTGCTTTTGGATATAGAGTAGAATCTTGCATCCACAGCTTTACCTGCTTCTCAAAATTCCTGAAATACCTGACTTCCTCTCTGGTTGCTGACCTTTCTGTATATTGGGTCCGGCTATCCTTTTGGGGTTTGTAGTAAATATATTAACATCCTATGCTCAGAAATACACAATGCTATTTAATGTTAGCTTCTTCTAAGAGTTCTTCCTGTCCAATTTGCCCCCATGTGGCTTCTGTTGCACACTCTGTTGTGTAGGAGTCATTTGAAGGAGCATTCTGCTCTGTTTTGGATAATCGGTTTTCAGTCGATATCTTGCTTGTTCTGGCATGTGGTGTTGTGAGCCAATAGAAGCAGCAAGACAGCTTTTCCTCACAGCCAGAACAGTGGCATTCTCCATTCTTGCTTGCATCAGGTCAGGAATTCCACCAGCAACTTCTTGCCTCTGCTGACGAGTTGGTGGAGACAGAAACACTTTTGCTGAGATCTGTTTACCATGTTGGTTAGCCACTGCTGGTGTGATTGTAGAGCTTGCGTTTAGGAAAGGGATCGATGATATCATCATCAATGTGTTGGCCCTGATGTCTCTGCAGATATAGTTGTTCTCAATTATCAATCCTAACCAGAGGAAGAAGAGTCTGGGCTTGGACCATTGTATAATTCAGTAACAGTTTACATTTAATTTTGCTGTGTAATTGTGTGCCTTCCTTCAATTACAGACATTAAGCCACATCATCTTTCTTTCTTCTTGGATCTGGATGAGAATCTCGGAGAATAAGTTTTCTATATGGCCATAGTTAATGTTACTTAGTGATTATTCTTGCTTAAATAAGATTTGTTTCTCTGGGCCCTTGTAAAGTACAAGCAGATGAATATCATTTCTAAGTTCCTACTTCCGATTCATGAAAGCTAAACAAGCTCTCCCCAATAAGATGTTCTATGCTGCAGACTTCAAAACACTTGAAGATTTTTTTTTTTTGTAGCTTTTAGACTCATGTGTCCAGATTGTTTAACGTGGACATCCAACTTCTAGAGAAGAGATGTTCAGCCAGCTGTTGTGATCCTTCAGGTCCCTTCAGCAAGTGCTGATTTCCATGCATGGTTAATATATTATTTGAGCATCTCTGTGTGCAAATGAAAGAACACAGGAGTTAATTCATGGAACCCAAGGGCTAGAACAGCTTCCCAAGTCCAGTAGAAACCAGAATGCTGAGCCAAAAAGCCCCAGGTACTAGGAAGTACTTTGTCTTTATCTCTTTTCTCTACGTGGGTTTATTTTCTCTTTCCCTCTCTTGTGTACTAAATTCCTTTACTTCTCAGACACATCTTAGTATGCTGACAGAATATGGCTGCCACTTAGCTGCCAAAATTATGTATTACCATGGCCTCCACATAAAAAGACTACTCAGCTATCTCTTGTTCTGTTTCACATTCCTACCAGAAAGGATTTGGATGTCCATCCTGACACCTGTACCTACCAAGAGGTTGCCTCATACAACAAGTCTACTGAGAGTTTCCCTTTAAGGAATACTGTAGTTGAAGCTCATGGCCTAGAATTTCTTGTTATGTAGGCTTGAAACTGTCCAGAGTTCCCACCCGGGAAAATCAGATCAGATAATGCTAAAAGTGTATGCTTTTTAAGTTACTTATTTATGACAGAGTCATCTGTTTGACTGTTTTGTAGTTTTATACTCCAGTTAAAATAGCAATAGAAGAAGCCTTAAATGATAGGTGATTGAGTCCTTCAAGAGAGCTGATTGTACAGTCTTTGTAGAGAAGTTCAGGAAAGGAAGCTTTACAACCCTTTTTTGGTGACTCACCCAGGTATTCTTTTTTAAATCACTCTGATTTTGAAAACAGTAGACCTACATAATGTTAAAAAGCCTAAAATCAGATTATTGACACAATGAAGATCCTAACTCAGTCAAAATATAACAAGAACTTTTTTGTGTCTCAGCATTGCTATAGAAATACATCCCACAACCCTGGAACACTGTACTTATTGGTGGCTACTTCTGCTGTATACCACCAATATCTCCTTACCTAGCCATACCGTTATGCAGTGATTTCCCAGGGACTTAGGTATAAAAGACAGTTTGAAGTTCCAACTGCTTTATTCAAATGAGTAAATATCTCTGCCCTATTTTTCAAGACTTGTAGAGCGAATTCTTCAGCTTCTCTTTCACAACCCACTCCATGCCGTGCTGTTTATCCACATTCTGTAAATGAGAAAACAAGACACTGAGAAGTGACCTTGAATTGGTTTTAAAACCCCGTGGGTCATGACTGAGCCAGGACCAGTTCTTCCTGTTAGCTGGCTGGTGCTCTTTCTGCACAGTCCTGGGAGGAGCAGGGGAATCAGATTAGAAATGCCTCATTCCCTGGAACCCAGGCAAAATCCTCCTAATCCCTATTATGGCCACAGTCCCAAGGGAAGGACACTGCAGGAAAGTGCAGGATTCCTTTTACTTCCACAGTGTTATAGTCTCATTCTTAGTACTTTTTCTTTCATTTCCCTTAGATTCCTTTCAGAATATCTGTAAGAAGAGAGAAATTTCTCATTCATTTATTCTTACAACATCCATTACTACTATTAAACTCAGAAAATTCAGTTGGACTTAACTTTGAAAATTCCGGGTGGTTACTTGCAAAATAAATGTCAGCCAGATCTATCCCATGCTTTAACTCAACCCTTATATGAAATTAGTCACAAGCAGTATCATTATCTCAACAAGGTTTCTTTGAGGAGAGCAATTTGTGCATAAAATGATATTTACCAAGTCCTGAGTGAAAGTTACATGCCAGGCACTGTACTGGATTCATTTTTAACATTCATTGTCTTAACATTGTTTAACGTTGACATCTTACAACAATTCAGTGAGATTGGTATTGTAAGACTTTTTTTTTTTTGGTACCGGGGATTGAACTTGGGACCTTGCGCTTGTGAGGCAGGCAGCAGAACCACTGAGCTAAATCCTCGGCCCAAGACTTTTTATATATATATATATGAGTAACTTGAGGTTCAGGCATAATGATTAATATTTGAGTCATTTATTGTATACTAGATGCTTTGTTAACTACTCACCAGTACAGTTATTTAAATCCATGATAACCAAAAAATGCATATTTTTTCATTAATTTTTATAAGATAACAGAAATATGAAAACAACAACTTTATCAAGTTTATACAATACAGAAATCTATTGGTTGAAATGACACCTGCCTGAGAGATGCTTGGTATAGTCAGTATATAAACAAATATACTGGGGCTGGGAATTTAGCTCAGTGGTGCCACCGCCTGCCTTGCAAGCACATTGTCCTGAGTTCCATCCCTGGTACCACCAAAAAAAAAAAAACAAATACACTGCCCAAATGACCCTCAAGGTAAACTGTGAAATGGTTAAGTGTGCTATACATTTAATCCTCACATATTCAACTATAATTATCTCCATTTTATTTATTTATTGGATTTATTTGCATGTTAAGCAAATGCTTTATCAATGAGTTACAATTATTTCCATTTGAAAAATGATATAAACAAAGTATCCAGAAGGTTAGGTATATTGCTGAAGTCACACAAGTTAGTGATGACCACGCTTCAAAGCCAAGACTAGGATTCCCATACATGTCAATCTGATCTTCTTGCCTTCAAAAAGGAATCAGAGATGAGACCCTTCCTGAGACCTATGTGTCTGTCTTCTGCTCACCTTATCCCTATGGCCACCAAAAGTGTCTGTGTTTTGTTGGCCATGTGCTATATGATAGCTTGGTGTTGGGTGAACCAAAGAAATTCACGTGTAGAGTCATGCAAGCAGCGTATAATCCTATTGCTGATTTTTTCCCTATATAATTATGAAATCTACCTCCTTGTGAACCTGAAATCAAAGTGGGTTGTATTTTTATTTCAATCTAGGGCAGTTACTCTGGTTTCTCTTCAGATCATATAAATTTTTTGCCTTTTGCCGGAGATGTAGCTCAGTGGCACCGTGCCTGCCTGGCAAGCACAAGATCCTGAATTCAGTCCCCAGTACAAAAAAAAAAAAAAAAAAAAAAAAAAAAAATCTTTTGTCTTTTAATCTAGGACAGAAAACAATCATTTTGCAAGCAAGGGATATATATGATACATATCATATCATATGTATCAAATATCATATGATACATATGATATTTTTATTTTTGGTACCAGGGATCAAACTTGGGACCTTACGCTTGCGAGGCAGGAGGTGGAAACACTGAGCCAAATCACTGGCTCCTAAGGTGTATTTTTAAATAGATAGGCAAACTCTAAGTAGTAGACTTACAGTGATTAACCTTTTCAATATTTTGGTATTGGAAAATACTCTTGGAAAATTATTTTACCTTCTCACTTCTTACTGGCTCTTAAACTTCCTGTTGCTTCCCTTTCCAAGCTGGAAGCCTCCTTAATCCTTCATTTTTCCATTTGTTTTTAAAATATCTATTTACTATGGGCTAAGCATTATAGTTACAGAATAAGACAGAAATGAAAAATTATAACTATGAAAAAAAGTATAAAGTGCTACTACAATAGTAATATCAGTAGAAAAGAAAGAAGAGTTGGAGAAGCAGGGAAGTAGCTAGAGGAAGTAATAATTGTGCTGAGACTTGAAGGATGAACATTAGACAGGGCGGGATGGAAGGGAGCATCCAGGCAGAGAACAGCCTCCACGAAGCCCAGAAGGGTAAGAGTCTGGGTCACTGTGAGAAGATAGAAAAGTACATCCAGGAAGAAAGGAGCCACATGTTGGTAGAAGAGCTTTCTTTTGCTTTTTAGGAATTATGATTTAAAAATAGACACCTGTGAAAATTGCTCATTTTGCTGGCCCATTGTTTCTCTCACCTTGACCACTTTTTGGGGTTGAACTTGGGGAGGAGCAGAAGCTCAGGCCAAGAGGGAGGGTGGGGAAGGTGAGAAGGGGCTTCCAAGTGACTCTGGTTCTGGGGGTCTTATCTCCTCAGGCCTCAAGACAATTGTGGGTGCCCTCATTCAGTCTGTGAAGAAGCTGTCAGATGTGATGATCCTGACAGTATTCTGCCTGAGTGTTTTCGCCCTGATTGGACTGCAGCTGTTCATGGGGAACCTGCGAAACAAGTGTGTTGTATGGCCCATAAACTTCAATGAGAGCTATCTCGAAAACGGCACGAAAGGCTTTGACTGGGAAGAGTATATCAACAATAAAAGTAGGTGGCTCCTCCCCACAAGAGGAAAAGCCTGTCACTTGTTTACATGGTCAGAAGCTACCACCGAGCTTAAAGTAGTTGAGCACAGGAATGAATGGCTGTGCTACCAAAAGGAGCCTTGTAAAGTCATTCTCTTTCCTGTTTCTCTCCTCAAGGTGGGATTGTGTTCAGAAGCTCTCAGACAGCCTTCTCTCTATTTCTTTTCTACTTCTTTGAAACAAAATAAAACTTTATAGCTCTTGAGCTTGTGCTTTAAAATTCAGGCTTACAATTTTTATAAACAATGTTCTTTCCCTCACTAGATTACTAGAGATATTTAAACACACTTAGTCCAGAAAGCACTGATGGAACCTTTTTTCATTCTAGTAGACCTTAGTTATTTATCTGGTCCAAGGAGTCAGGCAATCTCTAAGGTGTCATTTGATTTTGTTATGATGAAGGAGTTTTAATAATTTCACTTGAGGAGCCAAAGCACTTTGGTCTTGACATTAAGGGAAAATTCGATGTAGTGGCATTTCTACAAACTAATGAAAAAGTTGATAATATAATGACTAGTCATTCTTGAGAAATAAAGGCAGTTAAGTAACCATAAGAAAATGTTGTAAAGGAGATTTCAGGGACTAAAATCCTTCTATTTTAAAATAAGACATGGTAACTTGTGACCATATTCTAGGAGTTCTAGGACATCTTAATAAAAATAAATTTTAAGAACAGAAGACTAAAACTGTCTAAAGTAGTAGATAATTGATAGAGAATTTAGAAACTTACTTTAGAGCCTTTTTATTCAAATATCAGAACGTGACATATAGGTTTGGTGGACTCAGGTGCCTGGGGAAAAAAACTTTGCATCAAAGGCTTTGGGGCAGCAGTTTTAATTTGTAAATATATATAGGAAAATCACTAGTGGAAAAGAATTCTCATCTGCTTTTACTGCTGTTGGAAGAGTTTTGTGAGCTAAAATCAATAGCTCTTCTGCTGGGGCTATTAGGAATAGTGTAACCTTATTCTCCCATTCACTTAAATCTGTCTATTCATTTCCTGCCTCTTCAAACTTTTCTAGCAAATTTTTACACAGTTCCTGGCATGCTGGAACCTTTACTCTGTGGGAACAGTTCTGATGCTGGGTAAGTAGCTCACCTAGTTTCATTCTCCTTCCTTAAAATAATGTGCCTATTATTAGTTGGATCAAAATGACAAAATTTTCACTTTTCTTTGTGCTCATATAATAGGTCCTACAATTGTCTCTGACCTATTGGTTGATTCATATTTTCTTTCTGTTTCATGTTTGTCTGACTAAAGTTAACATTTCACTACTAGGTGCATGCGCTTGTAGTCTAAAGTGAAAATCAAAGATGCGAAAGAATAGAAAAAAATCTGTAACATCAATTAACTTACTTGCCTTTGTAGATGCCCCTCATTCTGTCTTAGGATAGTTGATACTGTATAGAATGAGGACACGATATTGGTGGTAACTTAGCATCCAAGGATGACTCAAAATGTGCTATACCTTACAGACCTATACTAGAACAAATAGCAACATAGTATTTGAGTTCTAATTCTTCTACTTCTAGTTTTAAGACCCTTGCCAAGCCATTGCACTTACCTGAGCCTCAGTTCCTTCATCCATAAAATAGAGTTTTTAATAAACTCTTCCTCATAGCTTTACAATAAGGAGCCCCTGAGATAACAGTCATGAAAGTGCTTTGTAAACAGAGGTTATACAAATGTAGAGTGGTGGTGTCATTATTCAGAGAAATGTTGGTCCCAAGAAACTGGCGTTTTAATATGACCATGACAACCAGAAGTCCATTTTTTTTTCTATATTGTAGTAGATAATAGAGATTGCATTGAAAGAAGTACGAATTGAGGCTAAAAACAGAAAAAATGGTACAACTGGGGTCACTGAAATCCCTGTATGTCTGATTATCACAGCAGATGTTAGAACAGTGAGGACTAAGGAACATCAAGACAGCTGTCATTTGAGATAGTAGCTAAGTCGAATTTTATTTAATTACACATCAATAGGAGTCTAGGATAAAATCGTCTGGCGTGTCTCTTAAATATGCAGTCATAGCTCCCAGATCTTAAGTTTTCAATGCCTAGGTCCTGAATAGGGTACAGTACTGTATTTTGAAGGGTTAGGCCAGGCAATTCTGATTGTAGGCCCTCCACAGAAATTAGCTAGTTACTATTTTCTTCCTCTTTTTCTTTTCATTTATTTTGCTTCCATCTTTGGCCTCCCTCTATAATGGTCACTTCCTATCTCCAAGGTTATAGAGTAGATAAAATCATGTTCTTTATTTTCTTCATGGTTGTGATTAGATTCCTAAAGTTCTTTCTCCTCCTTTCTTCAGGCAGTGCCCAGAGGGATACCAGTGTATGAAAGCAGGAAGGAACCCCAACTATGGTTACACAAGCTTTGATACTTTTAGCTGGGCCTTCTTGGCTTTATTTCGCCTTATGACCCAGGACTATTGGGAAAACTTATATCAATTGGTAAGCAATATCTCTGTTTATTCGATAACAAAGTTTGCATGAGGATATGTGGGGTTGGGACCTTCTGTACAAGAGGGCTTTAGTGAAAACATTAAACAGGATAGCATTTTCCACAGTTGGTATGTTTATAATATTAAGTGAATTCTCCAGCTCTTGTCCCTATTTCTTTCATTTGTTCTTTCATTTGGCAATACGGGGGATTGAACCCAGGGCTTTTGCAATGGGCTACATCCCTAGAGTGCTGTGAGTACAGGTGTGCACCACACACCTGTTTCTTGAATGTTCAAGTTATGTATAGCCAAGGAAGCTTCCAGAATTGACAGACTTTGCCTGGCCTAGGTATCTGCTACATCTACCTTTTTTTTCATTTTGGTATGGGGGATCAAACTCGGGACCTTGCACTTGTGAGGCAGGCAGCGGCACCACTGAGATAAACTCCCAGCCCACATCTACTTACTTTTTAATGTTTCACTATCTGTAGCCTATTTCTTTTCGGATTTTTAGACATAGGGCATCTAAAAATTTCTATAATCTAAATATATTAACATTTTTGAGATTTGCAATACATTAAGACTTGTTCAAACAGGTTGAAAAGTAAAAATAAAGGTTCTGTTCATGTGAACACATCATTTTATTTTGCTGGTTGTGATGAAAAAGTTAGTGTAGGTGATGGCTGAGAGAAATTCCACAACAAGCCATTGTTTTCTTTTTACTCTGGTATCTATTGATGCCAATTAGAGAATAAAATATGTGCCTTTTTCATTATAAAGGAACTTCTTTAAAGGAAGCTTCTAGTTCAGGTCCCCAAATCAGTTTTTACCAATTCTGTTGGGCAGCCTAGAGTCCCCTCAACTTTGAATTTTTCTCATGAAATATTTATGATTGACACTAACCTTTACTAAAATCTATAACTGAAAGAATAAAGACAAAAGCTCGGGAATAGTGTGCTGCATATAGGTAATCCAAAATCCAATTGTTCTTTGACGTCCACTTGCTCACTCTTCTGAAAGGAATAGCCCCAGCCCTAGCATCTTCCTTCTTTTTTCTTTTTCCCTCCCTGCTATTCTTTTTTGTCATAGCGCCATACTCTTCTTTTTTGTTTTTGGTTTGTTTGTTTGTTTTTTGAGACAGAGTCTTGCCATATAGCTCAGGCTGGCCTTAAACTCATGGCCCTCCTCCTGCCTTTGCCACCTGAGTGCTGGATTACAGGATGGACCATCATGCCTGGCCATATTCTTTTCAAAACTTACCCTATTACAAGAGGATAAGTTGGGTATCACTCAAAATGGGGACTTCCTGTGAAGTGGACCTGATTCCAAAAATGGAATTTATTGACATTCTTTGAGGATCAGTAGATAAATGAACTAAAGTCTTATATTCTTTTTCTTTATACTTGTTTTAGAGCCATCTGATGAAATCAAGTATAATTCTGAGCCCAGAGTATTTTTAAAATAAATAATTTTAAAATCAAATTATTTTCTGTGAATGGGGGATATTTGAAAAGGAAGAAGACTTTTGTCATAAAGGACAGCAGGTACTACTGCCACTTAGTATGATTTAAGCATAGCGAGGCCACTCAGTCCCCGGTGATGTTCAGGGTTTCTGCAGTAAAAGGAGAAACACACAAGGAATGACTGTCCTTTTCAAACTGCCAATAGTTCCCCTGTAGAGGAACTAAACTCATGAAGTGTCTTTGGCCTGCTTTATTTGATGCAAGTGTCTCAGAAAGTATCTTTGCCTTTACAGACCTTACGAGCTGCTGGGAAAACATACATGATCTTCTTCGTCTTGGTCATTTTTGTGGGTTCCTTCTATCTGGTGAACTTGATCTTGGCTGTGGTAGCTATGGCTTATGAGGAGCAGAATCAGGCAACACTGGAGGAAGCAGAGCAAAAAGAGGCTGAATTCAAAGCAATGTTAGAGCAGCTTAAGAAACAACAGGAAGAGGCACAGGTTGGTGATTAATTCTTTGCAACAGGCCCTTCTTCCTGCCAGATCGAAGAGACTAGGACTCCATCTGATTGCCACAGCAGTTGATCTTTTCTGTGCATATTGGCAAATAGAGGTCGTTAATCTGATTAAAATAAACCAAGTAACAACTGCAGGTGGTTGGTCCATTTGTTCCATTTCTTTTAATGGCCAAATTGTTATTAAGATGCTGCTTTATTTTTCAAGATATGGGGGCCTCTCTGTGTTGCCTGGATGGTCTTAAACTCCTGGGTTCAATCCTGTTCTCAACCTGCTGAGTACCTGGGACTTAGACACAGGCCCTCTCTCTTGACTTAACAAGATCTTTTGTTGACTCTCTCAACTCTTTGGTGTTCTGACTGGAAAGAAAAATGTAACCAAAGCAGTTATGTAGTGCTTCATATAGGTACAGCAGTTTTTGGTTTTTGTTGTTGTTTTGGGTTTGGGGTTTTTGATTTGGGCATTGAACACAGGTCCTCATGTATCCTAAGCCTGGACTCTACCACTTATCCCCAGCCCAAACCCAGCCTTTTTCTGGAAACAAACATTGGAGTCTAATTAAAAAGAAGATAAAAAACAAAATAATTAAAATAAAATTTGAAAACTAAATATTAAAGTAAAATTTGAAAGACAGACTTTTAATCCCATCACCCTAGTACTTAATTTTTTTTTTTTTTAGAAAGGCTCTTTCTCTGCTGTCTGGCTGGCCTTGAATGCTCAATCCTCCTGCCTCAGTCTCCCTAGTGGCCCACTGGCCTGCATCACCACCACATCCAGCTGCTGACACTCAACTTTCTAATCCTTATCTGAATATGCATGTTTGTTTTACATTATTGCCCCCATAATGTATAATAAAGTTCTGACCTTGTATTTCCAGAGTCACTCAGAAGGGGTCCCCTGATACCAAGAAGGCAATCAAATTCTTGTCTGAGATACTCAGAAGAAAAAACCCCAAAGTTGTCACCACTAGGTGACAACTTTCTATTCTGATCAAGTTCATTTAGGAAATGGAGACAGCCAGACCACGATTTCCTTGAACAGCCTGGTTTTCCCTCCCTTTCTCTGTTTATAGAAAGGAAAAGGTCCATCTTCAGTGAATGGATTGGGTGGCCCCAAGTAATGTTTCTAATCTGTCTGCTATCTGTACCTCCTCTCCTAGGCTGCTGCAATGGCCACCTCAGCAGGCACTGTCTCAGAAGATGCCATTGAAGAGGAAGGTGAAGAAGGGGTCGGCTCTCCTCGGAGCTCATCTGAACTTTCTAAACTCAGTTCAAAGAGTGCCAAAGAAAGACGTAACAGGAGAAAGAAGAAGAAGCAGAAGGAACTCTCTGAAGGAGAGGAGAAAGGAGATCCTGAGAAGGTGTTTAAGTCAGAGTCAGAAGATGGCATGAGGAGGAAGGCCTTTCGGCTACCAGACAACAGAATAGGGAGGAAATTTTCCATCATGAATCAGGTAAACTCTTTTTGTTGGGTGAAATAAGCCTGATAAACTCTAGTGTTCCTAATCCTACTTGATTTTGTTTTCCTCTTTGGCCTCCCGGTTTCCAGACTCATCCCTGCATCTCCAATCTTTCTTCTCCATTCTCCATATTGTTCTCCTTAGGAACCATGAGACTTGCTGAGATCAGGCAAATACAATGTGTCAGGTAAAAAAACAGTGACCAAAGACACAACTATTGGAGTTTATGGTCATAAAAGATGGAGTCGATGGAAAGAGAGAGAGAGAGAAAGAAACAGCCCTCAGAGATGCTGAGAGAACCAAGATTTAGGGAAACTAAAAGTGGAAGGATTGGAGAAAGCAAGGCAGTGATCAGTAGATTGAAGTTTAACAGAGATACCTAATGACATTAGAATTAGTTGTGTCCTTTGGGTTTGGAAATTTCAAAATCATTGAATTCTTTCAGTCTATAGTGAGAGTGGTTGCCATATTCAGTTTGAAGTGAAGACATGTGTAGGCTTCTCATTTAAGCTTCTTTAAAGAATATGGATAAAAATAAGCATTTTTATAATTTGTGGGGGAGAAAATCCAGAAGAGGGAAAGGTACAGTTAGAAAATGGAGACTAAAAATGGATCATAGTCTTGGAAGATAGGGAAAGATGTAGTCTTTAAAAGAACTTACCCCTTAACCTTGTTCCCTGAAACCTCAGGAATAGTCAAGAGTGGGGTGGTCACATTTGTTGTCAAAAGTAGAAAGTTGGAGAAGATGACACCTGATAGTCTGGTTTTTTCATAAGGTGGAGAATTAAAAATCTTATTGAAGGAGGTGTGAGGTTCATTTGGGGTTTAAAGGAAATAGTGACAGTTTCAAATAGTAAGACAAATGAGAGAAAGCATTCTCCTAATCAGCTTAATTTTATGTGCTAATAAAGTTACAGCTCTTTGAGGCCAGGGATTTAGCTCAGTGGCTGTGCACCTGCCTCATAAGCGTAAGGTCCTGAGTTTGATTCCCTGGTACCAAAAAACAAAAACAAAAACAAAAAACAACAAAAAGTTACAGCTCTTTAACATGGAATTCATAGCATTCATTTCCCCCACTGTGGATGCAGTCTGCTTTTCCTTCTCCCGTCACTGTGCTTAGGGCTTAACCCGGAAGGAACTGTCAGATGGTCTCTTGCACATGATGTTTGTTTTCTGCCCTCCGAGGTTTGTTCCAGAAATGCTGTAAGGTTCTCTGTTTCTGCACTTCTGAGTGTCCATGTCATGGTTATCCTTTACATCTTTCTCACAAGAACCTTCCCTAACCCGCTTATTCCCCAAGAGTAAAATTCCATCTTTCCATCAGGCTTTACATGGATATCTTCAGTCTTCGTTTTTATGTACTACTCTGTGTACATATTTTGCTTGTGTTCACATCCTCTCTTCTCTTGAAGTCCTTGAGTTTGCTTTTTTGGCTCCCATTCAGATACTATTGGACAAATGGATGCAGGGATTTCAGAAACTTGATTTAACCCCTTCTGGGACTTTATGGCTGGTGCCACCTGTGCCTCACCTTTACATCACCTTTATCCTAGTTCCCTTTTAGGAAAAAGTGTGATTACAACTTTGTTATAATCCTGACCTTGTTTTCAGAGCTATCACCAGCTTGTTCATGAATACCTTAGTGCTGGTACTTCTTGGCTATTGAATAGTCTCTGATTAATCTGTAGGCTTTAGCACAGAGCTGCATTGATTGCTCCCTAGCTCAAAAAATAAAACCAGGCTTCTGAGCTGTCCTGCTTTACATGAAAATGTTCAATTCCTCTAATTTCTCCATTTGAAAGAAATTGTAGACTCCTAGAGGTAATGGCTAAATGCCAAGACACCGCCCTCCCTATGGTCATAATATTCTTTGCTCCAGTAATCTCCTACAGTTTCTTGGATTTTATTTGGAAGAATAACTGAGGAAATTAAGGCCTAGACACATTTACTAACTGAGCCAAGGCTACATAGCTAGTAGAAATTAGAGCCAGATTCTAATCCAGGCCCATCTACTCTGGAACTTTACCCCTGGCCATCCTTGATAGCTGTACATGTACATGGCTTCAGGTTTCCCACAGCACAATTCAGGGATGTGTCAGTTTCCTTTATGTTCTTATATTCTGAGATTATCTGGAGACGTGCCCACCCAGCTCCTACCCATTTTCCTATATTTTTAGGGCTTAGGACAGTTTATAGAAGTGTTGGCTAGCGTTCATGTTAGCAAAGTATTTTAATTTTTCTATTGCAATAGTTCTCATAACTTTCTATGTACTTACTTCTAAGATCACTTTAAATCTTTGAAAATTATTGGGGACTCCAAAGAGCTTTTAAAACACGTGCTTTTAATTTATCTTCTTAGAAATTATAGCTAATTTTTAAAAAATATTTACTAGTGTATTTAATTTGTTACCAAACTATTAACATAAATTGCATCTATTTTATAAAATGAACTGTTTTTCAAAACATAAAAGTAGGGCCAGGGATTTAGCTCAGTGGTACTACTGCCTGCCTCATAAGCACAAGGCCCTGAGTTTGATCCCTGGTACCAAAAAAAAAAAAGTGGGAAAAGCAGTATTGTGAATATTTCTGTAATTCCCTTTAATCTCTAGTTCAATGAAAACAGTGTCATATTTGCTTCTGTGTGCATTAAATCTATTGAAGTATCTTTTTTTGTTGTTGTTGAAGTACTTGAAAAAAATCCAATTTCATACAGACAGATATATAGTTTAAAAAGGAGGAATATTTTAATAGCCTTTTTAGATCATTTTGAATGTTGCTTCCTATTACTATTCCTAAATTTAGCAGTGTCCATTTTTTTAAGTAATTGTAATATGGAGCCTAAAACTATATCAGTAACTTCATACTCTGTTGAATTAAAATCCTTTGCTCTATTTTACACCATAGATCTTTAGTTGTTTTTTTTTAATTGAACAACTTTATCTAACTCATATACCAAACTAATATTTCTCCGGCCCCAAACTTCCACAGGGCCAGGTACTAGATGATGAGGTACCACCTCTATAGCCCAGAGCCCTCTAAAATTATCCAGACTGTCTAGTCCTAAACTCACTCAAATTTGCCTACCCTGCTTCACCCATTCCTCCCTGGGGAAGCAACAGTGAAGTTTTGGACCATGCTGTCCTCTTGTTCCTTCTGCCTCCTGACTTCCCTTATGCTTCCCTGTGTGGCACTCTTGGGTGTGGCATGCCCTCCTCTCTTGGGAACCAAGCTATAAACTTTTCTTTCAGAGGCAGTTCCCTCTGTATCTGTACATCTTCAGAAACTTGCCACCTTCCAACCACATTCTTTAAAGCAGTTTTTCTCAAGCATCTGTGGGGAACACTAGTTTTTTTCAGATTTTTATGAACTGATACTTGCTGTGAAATATAGTAACAATGAATTTCTGGAAAAATTATCACATTCTTAGATGTTATGACAATGTTAATTGCTATAAAAATTTCTAAATGTTTCACTCAGTTTCTTTGCATGGCTCATTGTAAACCAGTAACAGGTCTTATACTAGCACTGATCTATGAATCACACTCCTGAGTAGAGCAGAAGGGGAATGAGATGGTGGCTCAGTGAGGAAGCCCAAACAGTGAGATATGAGAAGAGAACAATAAGGCAGAAGAGACCCTAATCCCTTGACCAGTCCAGCAATGTGGAAAAAGGACACACAGTGACAGCCTTTACTCATAAACAAAATCCAACCAACGTGTGCACCTCCTCCTCTCTGGTGTAAGGATGCAGCCTAAGAATAAAATAAGTCAGGGTGATCAAAGATGTTGCTTACCTGCAGCCTTTTTCTAGAGGCATAAGAGGTATTTAACATTGACCTCTATGTAAATGATCTGTGATTAATGGTTTTGTTCACATGGCTCCCAGTGATCAGACTCATTTGTGTCTCAGAAGTTTTTTGAGCTTCTTAGAGCCAACTTGGGAAAAGACTTCATAACAAAGACAGGTGAGAAAAATGGAACACACTGGAATTAGAATTTTCCAAGAAAATATATGGATCTAGGGGCAGGGGCTTTGTACATGACTGGAAGAGATAGAAAATGGAAACATTTTGAGTATAGAACCAGAAATGTACAACAAAGAAGTACTACAGAGGAGCTCCACAGTCTTTCCAAGGTTGTCATCAAAAGTATTATCTTTAAAAAGATTTCACTAGCGCTATATTGGCACAGACCTGGTCCATGAAGACCTTTCACAGTACAACCATTTTAGAAGGTTAAAGCCTAAACATTTAATCAAAAAAGTCATATAGTTTAAAATTCTGAAAGTTGCTTCAAAGTCTTAATTGGACAAACTAAGTATCTCAAGGTAGCAAGAAAGATTGCCTAATATCACATATTTGCCAAGTTTGTTTCTTTTAGAGAAGTGGTCCTCAAACTGGGTCTGCATCCCCTTTGGGGTACTTAAAGTCTTTTTAAATACAGTTGTTGTTTTTTCTTCCTTTCAGTATAGGGGATCAAACTGAAGACCTTGTGCTTGCCAGGCAGGCATGGCACCACTGAGCTAAATCTGCTGGCCCTAAGTACAGTTTTGAGTTTGATTTCCAGATCTTTAACTTACATATAATTATACCTGAGACCAGCCCTGTGGTTTTGTCCTACTTGACTTTCCTTTCCTCTTCTTTTCAGAGGCTTCTCCTCCCACTTATCCAAAATGTTACATAGTTCTCATCCCATGCTTTATATTCATTGCTCTAATATGTAAAAATCTTTGCAATGCCAAGCAAAAGGATAATTGAAAATATTAGTGGCTATGGCACATTCCTGTAATCCCAGCACATTGAGAGGCTGAGCCAGGAGAATTGATATAGTGAGTTCGAGGTTAGTCTGCACTATATTATGACACTGTCTCAGAATACCAAAAAAGAATACAGTAGTGGTTACAAAATTTTTTTTATTCCAGGAACCTTAAATCCATTGTGATTTAAATCCTTTCTGAATGTATCTATATCTTACATATTTCTCCTAAGAGTGAAACAGAGTTGTAATCAGCGGTGTTAGGATTTTGTAAATTCAGTTTTCAGATGATTATCCCTGAAATACTATACATTTATAAAAAAATGAGGTAGGATTTCTTCAACTAAAAGTAAGTTTAATCTATCCAATTGCTTTGACACTGGATTTACTAACTAGATCGTATAATGGACACTTATACATAAGTCAAATCTGTGGCTTTAAGGTTTTGATAAAAATATATTTAAAGCATTTGATAAGATAAAAGTCATTTTACACAAAATGTTATCAGTGATGTCAAGAAGTTAACAATGTTTTAAGTATTCCAGCCTTTTATGTTGGGTTAAAGAAGGTGCCTTTATGTAAAAGAGGAACTCATATAACAGCCCATACAATTATTAATAAATAATGAATCCTTTTTGAATATTTTTCAGAAATCAAGAAAGAATATTTCTAACAGCTATGTAACAAATTCTTCGACAATTTGGATTTTCAGTTCTTTGTTTTCCATAAAATTAAAATAGGACCTAATTTATCAGCTGGTAGATCATTATAATATATTTTACTGATAGTTTGCTGTGTAATTTTTGGCATACAACTTGGAAGGAGTCCAAAGAATTGAGTGACGCTGATATAACAAATTTCTTCCAAAGATGATATTTATGTAAATAAGGTTTCTCAGCCCTTAAAATCTGTTATTAGAAGGAGGGGAACTGATGGTGAGCCATGTCATTCCAATACTACTATCAGCAGATATTAAAGCACCAACTGAAAAAATCTCATCCCTGTCACTTGAGATGTATTTTAACAAAATTTTCTTTTTAAACTGCTTTAGAATATCTAATATATTTGTGTAGGTTGATCAGTTATTCATGAGTATGGTAATGAAAATCCCGGAGAATTTTTTTAAATTTCTTGGGGACTTGGTCCCAGGAAAATTTTTAAATTTTAAGTTTGTTTCTAATTTTTTGTTGCAGAGTGTTTAAGGATGATCAGTAACATACATTAGAACACTGAAAAATACGTGTTCATAAAATTTTCTAGGGAATGTGGAGGTGTGAGTCAAAGGAGAAGCGAAATGAAAGTTTACCAAGTTGTGAAGAAGAGTTTATGTATGAGGGGCCGGGGATTGAGCTCAGCGGTTTGGGTGGCCTGCCTTGCAAGCGCAAGGACCCGAGTTCAATCCCTGGTATCAAAAAAAAAAAAAAAAAAAAAAAAAAGAGTTTACATTAATATTAGGAATTACATAATTTATAACTGGTCTGCTGGGAATTACATATTTAAACTTTTTTTTAAAAAAGATTACGTTGACTTTAACACGATGTGGGAGAAGTCATATATAATTTTATTTTCAATTTTACTAAAAAGCTAGACGACCTGGAGTATCTTGAGTAAGCTAAAGACACGCTGCATGTGAGCCCAGGTGAATGTGAAAACGCAGAGGTGTGCTTCCCAAGATAGGAGTGTCCTGGTGGTAGCACTAAGTGACCAGGGAGTAGGACGGATGGGTCCTCCACTGGTCCAGCAGAGGGGTATCCCAGGGCTATCCGATCAAGGGAAGGGACAGTGGGAGGTGAGGAAACACTGGTGTTCCGCCGCCGGGAGGACTGCAAAGGTTTGGCCGAGCTCAGGAGATCTGGCCCCTTTGCTCCACCAGACGGACCGGGTGGTCTCACACACACACACCCTTTCCTCTCTTTTTCTCTGTCTTCCTGCTCTGCAGTCACTGCTCAGCATCCCGGGCTCCCCCTTCCTCTCCCGCCACAACAGCA